AAGAGAATTCATAAGTTACACTTCAGTTGGCGGTTCCGGGCATGGGATTCCTTCTCGGTGGCATCGGTACTCGATTTGACTGCTCAATGTAGACCAAATTGGCCGCATGGTACGTTCGATTGAATGCCGTATTGAGACGGCGTTTGATGAGAATCGATACGTCATCACATTTATAGGGTTAACAAAGAAAAACATTTTTCCGGGGAACGATTAACAATTTATGTTTTTCTCCCCGCTGTCTGGCATACTTATCAACCAACTTTGCAAGGTAGCCGTTGTCCAGCAGTGTTTCATAGAGGACTGTTGTGTGTTTGTCAATTTTGTCGTTCGTTGCGATTTGGCGTGCTCGATTAAACAATGTACGTACCACTCCACGCTTGTATGCTATTGGGGCAAAACGTTTAAATTGCAATTATTGCCCTGAACAAGTTTTTTTTTATGGTAGGTACTTCTAGCCAGTGACCCGTTGACCCGTCGTTTTATGAGCACGTCCAAGAACGGCAAAACTCCATTTGTTTCCCGTTCGGTTGCATATTTGTTAGTTGCATGTAATGCGTTCAGGTGGTGAAATACTTGATTCATCTGCCACTCATACACGGGTACTGATTGAAGAATTGCATGCGTCATTATCCTCATGATAACCCATGGAAATATCTGCCAATACAGGTCCTCGAGGGCTTCCCATAGCCATTCCGTCTATTTGTTGATATTATTTGCAATCAAATACAAATTGAACATGTGATGTGCATAAACTTAGCAATCTGCATAATTTCGGAAGTGGTACTTTAGGATGTAAGTTGTGTTCGGCTGCGTAATTATGAATGATTGAAATTACTTCCTGAGCAGGAACATGTGTAAACAGTGATTGTACATCAAATGATGACATTACCGTGTTTTTGACGTTCATGTTGGCGATAACATTGATGAAGTCAAAAGTGTCTCGCAGGCTGTGTTTGCATAGACTCGATCGCACCGGTTCAATTATTTCCATCAACCACTGGGCGAGTCGATGGTAGGGTGAAGTGATCATTGACAATATCGATCTCACCAGAGTTCCTTGCTTGTGTGTTTTCGGCAACCCATAGATGCGTGCAGTAGCTGTTCCTACTGGTAGAAGTGTTTTCAGCGTCCTTTGGTCAATTACTNATTACTCTCTAATATTTTAGATTTTTGAGTTCCTGCATTACCTGGTGCATTCATCATCTAAGTATGAATCTCGCCTTTAAATCTATTTTTAACCATGCCCCATCAACATATATAATTTCCAATTGTAATTCGCATGAAATAACTGGTGATATGCGAAAGAAATGTCGCTGCAGCAGACATCTTGCATAAAACTACTGGCCTTTTTCAAAAAAAAGAAAGGGACAAGAAAACCTAGCTGTCCTGCTCGGTGAATGACCTTAAGGTACTTGATCCTAAATGGGAAAGCTAAATTATTGCTCAATCCAGAAACTACTTCATTNCACCTTCGATCTAGGGCTAGTTTAAGGCGTTGAAATGAGGGGAGTTCCACTAGCTCTTCTAACAATCGGTTCCATAGGTTTACTGCCAAATCGAAAGAGGATAGTGACCTTGCTACTATCCTGGATCGAGATTTCCTTAGGTTCTTACAGTGACCCTTTGTGCTCGAATTGAAGTCTTCCTGAACCAGGTTCGCCGGACCTATGCCTGATAAACCCTTCATGATTTCGGAAGTTTCGATGAGGTCACCTTGGAGTCTTCTCCTCTCTAGAGAGAAAAGCCCCAGGTTGTGGAGTCTCTGATCATACGACTTCCCCCTTGGACCTTGAAACATTCTTGTCGCACGCCTCTGAAGGCGCTTCAAGCAAGCAGAATCCTTTTTGAAGAAGGGTAACCGTGCCTGCACACAGTGCTCGAGATGAGGTCTAACTACATCTTTTTACACATACATGAACACCTCCGGTTTTTCGCAAGACAGTGCTGACCTCAGTCTGAAGAGTTCTGTACCGAGCGTTTTTGCGGCTGTTGTGCACTGCTCAACCCAAGGGAAATCTGGAGTTACGATGAAACCCGGGTACTTAGGCCTACAACAACCCCTGGTCCTGCACCACTGTTAAGCTTTCGTCGGTCTTCGATAGCAACTGGCTTTTGCCAGGAATATCACAATTTATTTTTGTTTCGTGTACTGCTACGGATGTTGGAATTTAAGATTCGTCAAAGTTTCATCCAGTTTTTGCTTGAAAGAATAGATTGTGGGCGCAGAAACAACGTGAGGTGGTGGAGAATTCCAAGTATTGCACAATCTGACGGCGAATGAATGATGCCGGCATTCTAGTTGGCATTTTTGGAGCACTAATTTGAATAATTTCCCTCTTCATTTGAATGTTTGGTGGCAAGGCAAATAATGAACGACATGGGTATTCGGGGTTTTACATTATTTGATACACCAAAATTAAGTCTTCTCCACTTCGGCGACACTGAGTGGAGTACATTTGCATTGATTCCAGTCTTTCTATATAAGTTTTGGAATGCATTCCCTTGACCATTTTGGTGGCCATTACTTGTGGATGTTCCAAAATCTTGCGATGGTGCTGCAGCCATGGAGTCCGCGCTTGACTTGTACACTCTATGTGGGGTCGAATGTAGGCTGAGAACAACCGTGGAAACAGCGTAGGTTCAAATTTTGCCAACTACTCGCTTTAGCAAACCAACATGTCTTACTGCGGTGGACTACCCCCGGGAGCAGTTTAAAGAACAACTTAGGTCGTCTTGGACAATAACGCTGAGATCCTTCTCATTCGGGTCACACGGAATTTGTTGACCTCTGAAGAAGTACGGAAGCCGAGGTATGTGGCGAAGGGATACGACCATACAGTTAATGCATTAAATTGCATGTCGTTTTCAATCGACCATTGATGGGCAACATTAAATATTCTCTGAAGTGCCAGCGAGTGTTCTAGTTTTTGTCCCCGTTTTCCATATCCTTGCACTGTCTGCGAACATTATCGTTTGTGGGCCTAGAATGTCCGTTAGATCAGTTATAAAAACAAGGAAAAGTTGAGGGCCAAGCACGAATCCATGTGGAACTACTCGAGCTACGCTGATAAGGTCAGAAAGTGACCGTGATCAGTATCACTCTGCTCGGGTCAGAAGCAGGTTAGTGGTAAACGATCGATTGCGAAAAAAACAAAACAAGTTGAGCAGGGTATATTTCCAAGTGACTCATCACATTGTCTGCAACGATGAATTTCATGACTTTGGTTAGTATGAGGAGAAGAGTAGCGGGGCGGTAGTTAGCTGGGTCACTATGACAGCCACCCTCTTATATCGGAAAAATTATTCCATGTTTGTGGGAGTAGAGTTTTGTTGAACATTTGTTGGATTAGTTCCACTTAATGGTTGACATGTGTTACTCGCCAGGTTGATAAGGGTTTGTGGATAGATATCATCTATCCCCGATGATGGGTTCCTTTTCAAGCACTGAAGTTTCGATGCCACTATTTCTGGGGAAAAATCAATTGTGGTAAGCCTTGGGGTATGGTATGTCCTCAAGTAACCGAGGCAGTCGTCGTGCGGTGCTCGCAGGTGCGATGAACACTTGAGCATACTGACTTTTTAGCATTTTAGCTACCTCCCTTGTTATGACTGAAACATGTTCTGCCAATCTTAGCGCTGGAACGCCAGATTCGACCTTTCCGGTGGCGTTTATGTGTTTGCACAACAGCTTGGGATTGGATATAAACTTGCCTATCAGCGGTTCTTGTTACATTAACTTGTCTTCTCTCGCCAGGTTGGTGCCGTGGTTTCGAAGTAGACAGTGGGTATACCATGTGTTGTTGCAAGGACATCGTTTATGAGCTCTCCATGAGTTATTCCTCTGCGCAGTTCGTTTCTTTGTTCGACTTCGAATCGCTGATTTTTTAACCAGTAGAGTGGGTCATGTGTTTGATCTTCATCAGACTCTTTACCATTACCGTTAGAAGAATCGGCAATTCTTCCCAGGATACCAGGGGGTCACATTGTTTGTTGGTGAAGTTCCATTGAACGTTTCTCGCCACAATCTTGAGGTTGGTGTAGTTCAGAAACATAGAGAAGTCAACCGTAGATATATGCAGTACGGATGCATAGCAGATGTAGTCAAAACGTCAACACATCATGATTACCACGCCCCCTAATGTGTTTGCAGTTGAAATCGGTTCCATCATCAGTTCCTCGTTAGCTAACACCAAGTTCAAAACCAACGATGGTTGGTTGGCTCCATACCTCGTGGACTACTTCACAAAATTGTAAAGTGGATGGGAGCGAGTTTTCTCTCAAACGGTTTGTAGAGAAGTCACTGATTTACCTAGATTCGGGCAATTGAAGTCACCCATAATGAGAACACACGCGTGAACTTCAGTGACAGAATGTGATACATGATTTGGAATAGTGTCCAATTGGCTTAGTCTGTGGATGAAGGAGAGCGGTACACCACGCCGATCAAGTCGATATCGCGTTACGACAGTCATACTTTGCACCACAGTGAGTCCGGAGACGCAGAAGTATAATCAATTGCCTCGAATTGTAGTTTTCTGCTAAAGTAGAGTAACACCCCACCACCCCGTGTAGGTCGATCCCGTCTGAGCACAGTCATGCCGGGCAAACGTAATTCTGAATCCAGAATGTCGGTTGTCAGCCAAGTTTCGGTAACTACAATAATGCGCCATTGACCAATTTGGCAACGCACTTCCACTTCGGAAAAGTTGTCGTGGAAATATTTGGAATTAGTGTAGAAACAATACAGTTGATCGGGGTGCAGAGGCTTAGTTGAGCCGACTGTATTATGGTCGGCCAGGGGAGGAATTTGGTGTAAGAGTTGTTTTGGGCCTGATCCATCAGTTGCGAGAAGGAACATGGAGCCTGTGGAAACCAAGTCTGTATGAAAAATATATTTTCTGCCAGGGAACCACCACCTTTGGTCTCAACCACAGTTCCGATGGTAGCTTGATCCTTTTTATCGTATCATCACTGTAAGACAGTCGTAACAGTTTCTGGTGTGCCTAGAGTTGTTATCTAGAGCAGAGGCGTTAGCAATTAGGAGAAACAAACCTCCATTATGTGCACACAAACAGTTCGTTAAATCCCTTCCCCCAGTCCCCCCCCCCCTCCGCTCATGTCCGAAGCGACCCATCCCCTGAATGTTCACACTCCGTAAAGGATTATCTCACCAACAATGCGGTCCCTCCCTCCTGACTCCTGAATTTATATTTTGCACATAATAAATAAAAACCTTGATTTGACTGCCTTCCCGTGTTAGTTCCCTGAGTTATATAATGTGCTGTAATTGCCTAGTAAATAAATCACCAAAAACAAGCGTGTTGTCCACATCTCTATTTTTCTAATGAATCTATCGGAATTATTCTTTCATTTGAAGAAAAACTAATGATGCTGAATTTTGTCAAGTTCTGATTCACAAACCACGACCCGGGTGCAACAGGACGTGTCTAGCCACGAATGTCTGTCTCTTCTCAGGCATAATCTCTACCCAAAGTGAAAGTTTTATTATGCGCGACGTAACAAAGATAAAGCTTATCACGCCCCATTGGATTTTTACAGAACGTTTTGAACAACCTCAGAAAGAGAAAATAATAATGATAATAATGTGCGTGATCATTGACGGTTGTTGACATTTTAAGTGTTCCAATGCTTTATCAAGTTGCGATTTAAATAGTTCAACTGTAGGAGCACACACTACATCAGATGGGAGAGAATTGGAGACGCTGCACACTCTGACTGCAAACAAGTGATGCCGGCAAGCAAGATGGTTGTTCTTGGTCTTCATCTTTAGCGGATGTCCCTCGAAGTGATCTTTACAAGATAAAGTCAGCAGAGAACGGCAACGATGGTTGGGTTGATGCAGTTGTGATATGCCAATATTAGGTCCCCTTGAAGTCGGCGGTATTGGGATTAGTAGAGTCCCAATATTTGCAGTCTTTCGGTGTATGTCTTGTTATGTAGACCTTTTACCAATTTCGTTGCCA